TTTTTTTTTTTTTTTTTTTTTTTTGGTAACATCAGTAGAAATCAGCAAAAAATATCTAACCAAATTCTTTGTCTTGGGGCTGCAGAAGATACCATGGGTAAGTCGTCAGATTAGTTTAAGTGCTTTCTTTGTAACTCAGTACCTGTGGAATGTCGTAATAAAGCCACGATGGTCAGAGTGTAGCTTTTTAAACAATAAAACAGGGGAAGTGATGAAAGGCAAATTTTTTTCTTTTTTTTTTTTTTTCAAAAAAAAGGGAGGCAGCAGAGGCCTCAGAGTTAATTTATGTAATATTTCTATTAAAAACAATGTCTATTCAAGACAGCAATTTAAAGCCTGCACCGTTGGCTTAAAATATAAATCCAATAAACCTCTATTATGATTCCTCCATTAGGTCAGTGTGATGGAATTTTGTGGACTTCTAAAATAAGACATCATTATTTTTCAGGAATGTTTCATGAATCACAGTCAAAGCCCCTTCATCCTCTGCTTGTATAAATTTCAGAAATGGTGCTCTTATAAAATATATACATTTGCTGAAGCCGGCAGCCGGCTTTCTTCTTGGAACAGCATCCTTGGAGCTGAAATCCAGTTTGCACAGCAGATGAGGCAAATGCTCCTTAATGGTCTTGTGGCTGTGGGCTGTGGGCTGTGAGGCTGAGGTTGTACAAATTTTGCCCGTTTCTGTGTCTAATATCCATGAGAAAAGAGTTGTGCTCTTCCTGAGAGAGGTGTTTTTTTTTTTTTTTTTTTTTGTGGAATTACCTGCATTTTGTGCATTTATTTGTTTGCCAATGTGATTTCTTTGGGCGGGGAGGTTGGACGGTGCCAGGACACAAAGCAGAAAGCCAATCCCCATCCCACAAACCCCAAAACCTTCCAGGCAAAGCCTAAAGCAGGGGCTGAATTTAAGAGTGGCCCTCACATTCTGCTTGAATTTCAGGCTGTCAGGACCACGTTAGCACCAGAGTTAATTTGTCTCATCCCCTGGGTGGTCCTGCATGGACGTCCTGGGAAGACCCTGACCCAAACGGCCAAAATCAGCCTCTGGCCTAAAAATGCTCCAAGTTTCTTGTGAGCTCTGCCTCATCCTTCCATGGAGAACCATCCTCTCTGCTGACAGGTCCAGATCCGCGCTGTTGCTGTGGCTGTAACAGCTGGATTTGGGCTGGAAGCATCCCAAAAGCACCTCGAAACCGGGGAGTGATTTGCTGGGGTTCATGAGAGCTTCATCGCCTCTGCGGGATGGAAACCCGCTGAACCCGGGCTGTGCCGTGGGGTGGGCGCACAGGGCAAGTTCACCTCTAGCAGTCGTGGGAGATGCTGCTGCTGCTGCTGATCGCTGGGGTCTGCTGGCGGAGGTGTGTAACGTTGGTATCCCTTGCTGCAGGAGGAAGAATTCATTGACTGGTGGAGCAAATTCTATGCTTCCACAGGAGAGAGGGAAAAATGTGGCTGCTATTTAGAGAAGGGCTTCGACACCCTGAAGGTAAGTGACCTCAGTTAGTTCTGGCTCATTGGACCTGCACTCCCCATGATGCTTTTCCACAAGCTTTGATTTTTTTTTTTAAGTGTTTAGGCTTTTTTTCTTCCAGAGGGGGGCGGGGGAAAAAAAAAAGTTTTCCCCAGAGAGCAGGTACTTTTGTTTTAAAAAGAACTATTCTGAAAACTCAATTATCTTTGCAAAATCCTTTCTGGTAACTTTCCCCTTTGTGGCCTTCAAGAAATTGTCACTTTTCTAAGTGGCAGCAGAGATGGGGAACTGCCGCCCTGAAAAGTGTTTGGGAGCAACAAGGGAAACCAGAGATTGTGTAGGGACAGGGAAGGTTTAGGTACTCGGTTACAAGGAGTGCTAGAATTAATGTAGAGGCCCAAATAGGACTGAAATGGAGAGGAACTTGTCTGGTCTTAAGGAAACCGTTCCCCGAAGGAAGGTCTTTGGCTGATGAAAAACCCTCTGCGAGGGCTTGGCTTAGTCTGGGTCTTGTGTGATGTGCTGTTATTTATTGTAGGGTTGCCAAAGGTCATTTTTTCAGCATACTCCTGGGGGACAACAAGGGTCACAGCTCCCAGGACTCTGTGGTATTTCCTCAGGACCGAGGAACTTGTCCCAGGTCGGTGGGGACACGCTGCTGGTCCCCCTGTGCCGGGAGCAGCCCCTGCCCTCGCCCCTCTGACTCTTGCTCCCCAGGTCTACGAGACGGAGCTGGAGAACGTGGAGGACTTTGAGCATCTCTCCGACTTCTGCCACACCTTCAAGCTGTATCGTGGCCGGTCGCAGGACTCGAACGATGACCCCTCGGTCGTGGGGGAGTTCAAGGTGTGATGGTTTCTCTTTCTACCTGTACCCGGGAACACACGCTGTTGGGAGGAAGGTCTCGCTGCTGAGTGGGATGATGTCAGTTGACTCTTTTTGGGTAGGACATCCGTGAGAAATGGGCTTCAAAATTAGATCACTGGCCCCAGCCTGAACAGCCTGCCTGTGCAGATCTGGCTGCTGTATTCCCAGCAGGGAGTGCTTTGCATGCTTCAAACTCGGTCTAGGCTCAAACTAGACTGTGCGGTCATCCGGGAGCAAAACCCCGTCTGAAACCAACTCTGGATCTAAGAGATGGAACATCCTTTTCCTCCGGGGCGGTGGTGGGAGCACGTGCGAGCACTGGTGGTGCTCAGAGCTCTCCCTTTGGAGGTGTCTGTCCAGTGCAGAGGAATGATGCATCCTCCTGTC